TACCACTACTAAAGAAGCCTCGATGAGATATTGGTGGTATTGTGGTTCGAGTTATGAGGACTGTTGAGGAGCGGCATAGCATAGCCGGCAGAATCCTAATGGGCCCAACAGGAGGGGCCAATGGGGGCATGATGGTATGAATTATACTACTCTCGTGATGAGAAACTCCCCCACTACGCTCGAATCGATATCAGCAGGAAACAGTCACACGAGTGTATCGCTATAGTTACTATACGAGGATAATACTATACTTCACTACTATCCTCCTTAATCACCACCCAGCTGTCTACCCTGACCGCCGAATGGGGCGAATTATACCACTCTCGTGAAAAACTCCCCTACAGTCCTCATCATACATGTGTTGGTGACAATATGAAAATTATGGAGAAAAATTTCTTGTTGATTTCTCCTATGAGTAGTGTGGAAACTCCCGAGCTCAGCAGCTGAGGAAGGCAAACATATATCCCAACACTGTTCCCGAGTAACTACTACCGAACACGACTTTTTCACTTGATCACAACTATAAACATCAAATATACGATAGTCTCAGCATAAAAACATCATCAACTCCTTTTGGTATGAAATCAATTTACATTAGTAAGCATCTCACGCCGTAGAAGTTTCCTTTCGAGACGAGTCAAGGTCGACCTCAGACTCCTCACCACTGGAGGGGTAAAAACGTCGCTCTGCATAGTCCGCTTCACCCAGCTTTCGGCCTTCCTCTATGAGCGCCTGAGATCAACGACAACATATAACAATAACAATAACAACATATACAACAACAACAACAACAACATATACAACAACAACAACAACATATACAACAACAACAACAACATATACAACAACAACAACAACATATACAACAACAACAACATATACAACAACAACAACATATACAACAACAACAACAACAACATATACAACAACAACAACATATACAACAACAACAACGACAACAAGTCATAAACCCTACCTGAACGGCTGCTATATCCTCCTCAAAGGTGAGATACATGGAGTTTAACTCCGTCTCCACCTCGGGCATTTTATCGCGGCTCTGCATGGCCTGATAATGAGCATCCTAGGAAAAGTACAAGTCCATATTCCCACCGCTGGCCACGACTTCTCCCTCAGTGTTGATAAGTGACCAATTTGTCGCATCAGGATAGCCTCTTGCTTCTCCACCACTGACTGGTACAACGCTAAAATAATTACCATACCACTCCTCTCCCAACTCCCTTCCAAATCCACACCAATACCCCATGTAACCCTCTCCTACCTAGTTCCTCCTCAAGCCTATCTATCTTCCTCAAAAGCTCATCCCTGTCCAGCCTCTCGTCCTCACTATCCACCTCA